TGTTTAGTTCAGTTGTTTCTCAACCTAAAATCTGGAGCCTTTTATAAGTGCATCCTCAGAAGAAAGATTAAATCGCTATCCCATATTAAAATTATTACCACACCCCTGATCGTTAATGTCGAGATTTACATGGATTTCCAACGGTTTTGGCTGCTTGGAACACATAAGTGAACGTGATGTGCCTACAAGACGGTCCACACTTCGGGCGACAGAAAGCCGTATTGAATACTAAGAAGTCGCTCTCGATTTGTGGCATACTCCGATAACCTGCATTTAGAAATCAAACGGACCACTGCTGTAAAATTTATTGACTCTCTTTTTGGCGTGAATTGTATTCAAATCGAATAGGAATTCGCATTTCGCGCTTTAGAATTCCGTGTCCGCGATTGTGATTTCTACAGCGGCCAACGCAATCATGTTCGTACTGAACAGCTTAGTAGTCTCTGGGTTCCGAACTTTAGAACCAGAAGTAAACCACTGAACGATTGTATATCGCAAGAATTGTTTAAACTCCACAAGTAAAACAATTGCACTAATTTGAGCTATTCTACAATATCTTTAGTCAAATATTTTTTATTTATATGCATGAAATAAAATTCCTTTAAGTATAGTTATTAACAGCCCTTTTTTGACTTGATTTAAAGGGAAACAAATATCGCGAACTTTTAAACCAGAGACTAGGAGCAATTAAAAATCTGAGAATAAATGTTGGGAAGGTCTTGTTCAAAGTTTTAAAATATAATTTAGACACGTTCAGTCAAGATCATAGAAAATTTGTGTCAAACTGGTATTTTATTTTGATTCTATATTTTGGTCGTTGACGATTTATATATCAGCCAGACATAACATTAATTACTAACGAAATACACATACAGAAACACATAAATAATAATAATAATAAAAGAAAAAATATGGAATTAAAAAAAAAGTGTGTGTGTCAGCTACGACGCACGATTGGAGTTTACTCCTTACAGAATGAACAATCTTTTTAGTTTTAATTTCACTGACCATTACTATTTACAAAATTCTATGGCACGCTAGACAATCTACTTTTATTTTTTACACCTGTCAACACTGACAATGTTGTAACGTGGCTGTCAAAACTTGAATTTAAAATAGAAAAGTCTGTGTAATGTATTCCATCTCATTCTTTTACACGTTCAATCCTACAGATATATATGTTTGTCTCTTTCTACATAACGCCTCAACTTTTCGTGTTACACTTGATTTTACTCCTCATAAAATTTCCGTACCGGGCCTTATAACTCAAATCGTTTCTTAAAGAGTAAACTCTATATGTTTGCCTCTTTCTACATAACGCTTCAACTTTTCGTGTTACACATAACGCCTCAACTTTTCGTGTTACACTTGATTTTACTCCTCATAAAATTTCCGTACCGGGCCTTATAACTCAAATCGTTTCTTAAAGAGTAAACTCTATATGTTTGCCTCTTTCTACATAACGCTTCAACTTTTCGTGTTACACATAACGCCTCAACTTTTCGTGTTACACTTGATTTTACTCCTCATAAAATTTCCGTACCGGGCCTTATAACTCAAATCGTTTCTTAAAGAGTAAACTCTACATGTTTGCCTCTTTCTACATAACGCTTCAACTTTTCGTGTTACACATAACGCCTCAACTTTTCGTGTTACACTTGATTTTACTCCTCATAAAATTTCCGTACCGGGCCTTATAACTCAAATCGTTTCTTAAAGAGTAAACTCTATATGTTTGCCTCTTTCTACATAACGCTTCAACTTTTCGTGTTACACATAACGCCTCAACTTTTCGTGTTACACTTGATTTTACTCCTCATAAAATTTCCGTATCGGGCCTTATAACTCAAATCGTTTCTTAAGGAGTAAACTCCAAAAAAAGGAATAAGGTACATTTTAATAGTGTAATGTGTGTTTTTACTGGCCCTGGCTCAGCATTATGCTGTGGAGCAGACATGTTCCACAGCGCTGGTCATTCTGCCAGAGACCACAACAGTTAGTTTGCGCCTCAGACGCAAAAAATTGAAATAATAATAATAATAGAAAAATTAACAGTGTAAGTAAAGAAGCCTTGGAACATTTTATGTGTATCTAGTAAATTAAAAAAAAAGAATAATTTAAACGTTAAAATGTGTGTTATTTTTTCATTATATCTATTAGAATATCGTATCAAATTTCTAAATCAAAATACGTATAGAAAAGTGTGTGGTTAGTAAAAATTCGTGATTTTCCTTCACGCCAAGGTTTGTTTATCTAGTAGTGTTGTGTAGATATTATCTCATCTTATTACCTATTCTTATGTGAGTGTTGATAAATTTATTCAAAATGACAACCCTTTGCAAACGATACGTATAATGAGTAGCCATCATATCTGAAGAGGCGATGGAGGAAGCCTCATTCATTCCATTTAGTTTTATTGTCAAATAGCCCTATCTCGGCAGGGCACCGTAACAGGATTTTTAAATAAGATTCCTTCCAAAGCTTGAGAAATTTGCGTAACAAGATAAAAAAGGTCGCTACAACGGCCTCATCTTAGAATGATATTATGATTCGTTTTTATAGTCGTATCGAAAGGGAATCCATACATAGCTAAATTGTGGACGAATAAAAATAAAGAATAAAACCATGTTACGCTCTCATATTCATACTCTTTCGTTTCTCGCACGAGTTCCTGTGAGATTTGGTCTGCCTATATTTATTTAAGTGAAATTACGTCAACGTGTGGCCGCCAACCTGTTTGGTTTTAATGCATAGTTCAGCAGTTGCCAGGTTATTCGCGGATAAAAGGCCTAGCTTTTAGGCCGTCACTGCTAATGCTTTGCTTACTAAATGGCAACTAGGAAGGAGCGCTCTATTATTAAAGACGCTTTAAATAGACCATGAATAGTTAAACGTTATCGAATCAATCAATCAAATCGTCTATAATTCTTTTGCCAAATATATAGACCTTTTAAACCTTCATGTATTTTAAACTACAGACTCCGGCTTCGAAAAGTTAGTGTAAGAAGAACAAAGATAGATCAAATCTTGCATTTCCTGTCTTAACTAAATACAAAAGCGTTGGCCTGGTGGCTTCAGCGTGCGACTCTCATCTCTGAGGTCGTAGGTTCGATACCCAGCTGTGCACCAATGGATTTTTTTCTATGTGCGCATTTAACATTCGCTCGACCGGTGAAGGAACATATCCTGAGGAAACCGGCTTGCCTTAGACCCAAAAAGTCGACGGCGTGTGTCAGTCATTGGAAGCTGATCACCTACTTGGTTGAAAAATGATCATGAAACAGATTCAGAAATCTGAGGACCAGACCTAAAAAGGTTGTGGCGCCACTGTTTTCTACCTCACTTCTTCTAAAATAGTTATATGAAAAAATATTATGCAATTTGGTTGACGTTCTGATGTTCTCCATTTTTCCAAACTTCAAATGAATCAAACATTTCGACGTAATGGGTGATTCCTTTTATTTTAGATAATCTAATCTTAATGAACCGTATAATAATGCTTTAATGCGGTTATTAAAGTAAAATTGCAGCTGTAACGAAGTAAGAAACAGTTTCGGCAACTCGTGGAGCTCTCCATAAATCGTACTTGTGGATGTCAGAAAGTCGGCAACTTTCGAAAATTTTCCTTGTAATGTCCTTTCCGTGTCGTTTTTCGCGGAACAATTTTAATTAATATTTCTTAACGGTCTTTAAGCGCTTTCGCCAGATGTATATATAGTGCCATTTTTCTAATGTAATAAAGTTGTTTTTTATGTATTTGATTAAAATCTGAATGCTAACTTTATAAATACAAAAGGCTCTTGTGATCACGATTTCAATTGTTTAGGTTCGCGAAGCTCATTTGATGTGATTAGAAATACAAACAAAGAGAATATTAAACTATTTAGACTAAATGTAACAAACACGCTTAAGCATTGAACATATTATTTAAATAAATTTTGGATTTGTGAAATTTTATATAAGATTAAGGCGTATTCTAGAACAACGTCAATTAAACAAGAATCTAGTTTCAATATCTGTCAAACAATTTTTAAGTTTGGCATATTTAACGGCGCTCAAGACGTGATTATGACTTAAGCAACACTTCAATTAGTTTTAAACAAACCTAGGTTCCAAGTCCTCCATTTCCCCAATCGTAGGATTTTCTGGCCTAAGGACATTCAGGTCCTTATGGGGCGGGATCACAACCATGTTGTCATCAGCTTTCCCCTTAAGCTGCTGTATGAGTATCCTCTGAAGATCTTCGAAGCGGTCTGCCGGTGGTGTCGGCGTCTTGGGTTCCGCATCCAAACCACTTGTTTCACTAGGCGCTGACTGCTCAAATTCCCTAGAGCTGTTGCTGCCATTACTGGAACATAAAGAAACACTAAGATATAGAATAATTGTAAAAATATTAGAAAATTAATAATGATATATTATATCCTCCAGAGGAGTGTTAGCCTTGGCTTTCACATTCAAAATCATTTATTCATGTAGGTAACACAATGTACAATTTACTCCACATTACAATTACAATTACATTACAAATTACTCCTAATATTTGCCAATTCTTAAATCAAGGGCGTAGAACGGAAGAGAAGAACTGGCCATAAACTCTCCGTCACTCGTTTTAATCGCCAAGTTTTTTGTTTTACACAACATTTGTAAGAAGCCACCATTACACCATGTTCCACATGACATCTTAAGTAATTAATAATAATAAAATAAATTAAAAATAAAGGTTTGTCCTCTATCAGCAGGAAGGATGGTGAAATATGAGCACGCACTTACATTCTCGTGGGAACAACACGCAACTTAAGCGTGCTACCCTCATCCCTATGAGCATGCGTTCGAATCACTGCAATGGAATTTTCTATCTATGTGCGCAATAAGCACTTGCTCCTACGGTGAAGGCAAACATAGTAAGGAAATCGGCATGGTACAAACCCAAATATCACTGTCCTGTGTCGCACAGAAGGCTGACGTCACCTACTTGACTATACAATAAAAATGATCGAGAAATCGACACAATCTGATGACAAAATCCATTTCGCGTTGTAACGCCATTGGATTATCTTTATTATAATATCCTGTACGTACATCAAGATTTCGTTGTAATAAAAAGTAGATGCAATTAACACTTTAAAACACTTAAATAATTATCGTATTTAATATTACTAAACAAACTTTACCGCACTGGGTTTTAGAATTCATAGAATTCTTTGAATAACGAAGCATATAAAACTGGCAAATGTATGTGCCTTGTAGCTTTCTTTCTCATGTCAAATATTTTGGTCTAAAGCAAGCTAATAATCTCAGGATTTTCACAGTGAAAGTGGGTATTAATTACACATCTAAAAATGCTGCTTATAGGACTCAAATCTATAGATAGAGTTGAATGTATTGCTTTATCCTTCGAAAGCTTAAATTGAAGAGCGAATCAAATATTTTCGTTGAATGAATTCGTAATTGATGTTCTTGTAAATTTAAGTGAACAATGGTAAACAATATTACAAGATATAACAAAAGCCGAATAGCTCTCGACAGGTTGCTACGGAGGAAATAATCGGTATCCAAGTATTAAGCATCCAAAAATCTTCAACTTCATTTAGTCCAATATTATTGTGATAAGCGTCTTGTTATTTTAGAATAGACGGTATTATAAAAGGCAATTGATATTGTGGTATTGTATTTATAAATTCATTAATTTTTTTTTTAAATATTGTTAGTATTGAAAACTATAATGTCATAATATCATATTCATTCATGTCTGTATTATATGATATTTTTTAACTTAATTCTATATGCCACGAGCTGTTTCATGTATCATTACTATATTATTCTACATTCATAATTATAATAATGGTATAATTGTTAGTGTAAAATAAAATCACTGATTTTGCATAAATGACGCACTGAAAATATTGAAAGTGTTTATAAAATATTAATATATTTTATAAGATTCAGCAGTTTAGTTTCTATTTCTATTTATTTGATAAATAAATTTTCCTATGCCTGTATAAGCATTTTTATGGCCTACTTAAATAATATTGACGAATCGTTGACAAAATATTTTCACTAATAACGCTGATAAATGAAATAACCTAATTAATAAATAATATTTCTCGATGACACTAGACTGTACGAAAAACGGTAAACAGTAAACACATTTTCTATTATGTTACTGTTGTTGTACTGAAAAACATTTTATAAAAAATCTACTGTGACTGTTTTGGATTTTTCTAAGCAATCAAACATGAAAATATGCTAGTTAAGTTTCATCGAATTCTCTGACCTAAGGTTTAATTTTGGTGAAAAATGCAAACGAATTGATAAAAAAAACTGTTCCTTTTAGGTCTGGGTTTCTGATTTTTTAATCAGATTCACTATCATTTATTTTCCTTAATAAGGAGGTGGTCAGCCGTCTGTCTAACATTCGTCGTCGATTTTGGATCTAATGTATGTCGGTTTCCTCAAGATGTTTTCTTCGCCGTACGAGCGAGTATTAAGTGCACACAGAAAAATCCATTAGAGCAAAGCCGTGATTCGACCGCATGTCCTCAGGGTTGTAAGGCAGGCTTAAGTCGCTAAGCAAACGCTGCTCAAAAGAATTGATACCTAATGTTAATCTTGAGGGTTCAAAATTATTTATACCAAAACCCTTAAAAACTTTAAACGCAATTTTTTAACGTCACTCGTTAAATGTATTTGTATAAGACCTCATTTTTGTGCTCAGAGGTTGACAGCTTTTGTTCATAGAATAAAAGAGAACAATACATTAATTAATTTGTCATGGCATCGGCTGTATAAATATTAAAAGTAAACGAAATATGAGCTTGCCACTCAATGCTTGTGAACAATGCTGTAAGGCTAAACAATAGACAATTAACCTAGGCTTTATAAGACATAAGCATTACAATGTTTAATTACTACGAAATTAATAATGCCCTTTTTAACGCGAGTGTCACAGATTAAAAAAGGAAATATATTTGTGGCTATGGAATTTCTCAACAAGATTACGGATCAACCGGTAACCATATGAAACAGATAACTGTATTTCTAGCATTTTTCAGATATGCTAGATAAACAATTTTATTCCTTAAAAAAGCACTTCAATATCATGACTTATATTGGGAATTTCAAGTAAAGTAATTGTAAAATTAAATGCGTTAAGGAAAAAAAATCTAAGTTATTTCGACAATTGCTTGTCTTGGAGGTCTTGAGATCAAACGCCCATGTCTATTTATATTATATTGACAGTACTATCTACTGGCACTCGCTTGGTATTATTAATATGTGCATGGGCAACTCTTTTGTAAAGAAGGTCCTTGAAAAAATATAATCAGTTCTGTAAAAGAATGGATATACGTGTATCTTTTGCAAATAGTATTGTTTCAAAGAATGAATGAGGCATAATTATCACTATTATTTATAGTATTTGTGTGAGGAAATTTGTATAAATGTCAATCAACAGTACACTAAGATCCTCAATTAAATGTACAACAAATTGACTCTTGTTTAGATATAATGCTGTTTTATCAGATATGGAAACTATAGATTTTATTGATATTAGAAATAAGAAGAAATATCTCCATAGTAAATGCAATTCTAGAAATTGTATCTGACCAATAAAATAATTATAGACTCTTGAGATATGTGAGCAAATAGAAAATCGTCAGATTGCTTTCAACTGCAAACATTGGTGTCGTTGTAGCAAATATTGAGCCAAGACCAATAACGTATTACATTTCATAACTACAACAAGTAGTTAGCTTCTTATTAGGTATTTGAAAATGGAATGAATAAAACTTTTTGTTTTATACTTATCTTTTTATAGGATTTTAACATTATTTTAATGTATAGGTCAAATAATTGTGTGAAAATTCGTAGGGTACGTCAGGAACGAGGCCCAGCGCGAATATTGACTACATACTCTCGTGTGGCTCGACCGCCAGAGTTGCTGCAAGAGTAACTAAGGGCAAAACAACCTTGTATGGATGGATGTACTATCACGTATACTAATGAACAGATTATCATTTATTTATTTATGTACAAAAGTCTATCGAATCGAATACACAAATTGATATAGCACAAGTTATTATTCTTAGTAATTTTATGTAGTGGTTGTAAAAAACTGTGGTAGTAAACGATTGCGGTGGAGTGTTATATTGGACTCGTTCCACCACCAGCAATCATCCGAGGACAGGACGGTGACAGAGTAGCTTTGTCCGAATCCCGTTACCCGAAGGGAAGGTCCCAACCTCTTCGACCGCGTCAATGATTTCACACTTTTAATATAAAAGTCATAAGATAGCATATACACGTATAAAAAACAAAATATTCCTATCAATAGATAAGTCATTAGATAAGTTCTGTAATGTGTTTTAGATAATATTTGGCGGATTTCACACAGACCAAAAGTTTGGTAGTAATGAGTAAGGGAAAACCTCACAGCCTATTCGTTAGGCGCTCGTCTCCCAACCCTGAGGACGTGTTCGAGTGGCAGCTTTGCACTGATCTATGTTTCTAGCTGTTTGTAATTAATATTTGCTCTTACAGTGAAAGAAAACGTAGGAAACCAGCATGTTTAAAACACGAAAATCAACAATATATGTCTGATACGGAAGGCTGATCATCTACTTGGCTATAAAGATAAATTATCAAGGAAACGGAGTATAATATGTATATATATAATAGAAATATAAACTATGAAGGAACATAACTCCTCTTCTACTCTTACACTTCAAAATATGATATTTTAAAAATTTGCGCTTGAAAATATTGATAAAATTCCAACAGCTTACATCGTTCACATTCTTCTACTACAACGTATACTGTTTTAGAATGAAGAATGTTCCAATAAATTATGCAGGTTTCGTGCGAAAAATTATACGCAGTTCATAGAATATATTCAATACATTTTATTGACTTATTATCCATAAATCTAATCTAGATTTGTCAGTTGTACTCTTGTGATACTTATAAGTTCATATGCGTTTAGCCATTTGAGAGATATAGTCAATAGAATAGTTTTTAAATAGTCTACTATGTATTTATATGACTGCTTTCATTTCTTACTTTATGGTATAACACATTGAGTGGTCAACAGTGACTAATATGCATTTTATATGATTAAAATAATTGATGAGGTTTGCTTGCCATAAAGCGAATTATATATTAACATATTTTAAATCAATAATTATAACATTGTAAGCAAAAAGGTTTTAATTAATTTAAACAACAATAAATAATTTCCTAGAATGGTTTATTCTGTGCCCCGTGATAAGAGTGACCCTATTAAGTGAGTATATAAGATCGATAAAATAAATGTATTATATTCGCAAAATACTAACAATTTAGTAAGGAGATAAGTATGGATTGACCTTAATTATTATTTACGAATTTTTCTAATGAGACCATCTCGGGTTTTACGCGTTGATATTTTATGTAAATCACCACGTTATGATATTTTGATTATTGCACTTTATTAAAGTACTTAACACCTCCCAATTAGGTAATGTACATTGTGTCAAAGCATTGAGAGATGAATATGTTATCTTCAAAGACGCTGTCAAACTAGTAAACACGTGATAAGAGTGATAACAGACGTATACTGTACAGCTGAGAGAAATATTTTCCTTGAACTGCAGTATACTCATAAATATTTGTTTTGTATAACCAAATTAATAACATCGTTAACCTAATTGTAATATTAGAGTAAAAAATAAGTAGTTAATTTAAAGCTAAGTTATTTACGGTTAACCTTACGTTAAACACTACGTATAGTTTAGTTAATTTTGTTAAGTACCTGGCTTTCTTGCATTGCTATAATCATATTGTATTATACTAATAAAAGTCTTGATAACTGCTGATAATTCCGTGATACGTTAAGTTCTAAATCCACTCCTGTTTTTAACACTTTATAGAAACTAAAAAAAAAAACTAATCCAGAACTAACCTTCTATGAAGGAACCGCTTCCGAAACTCAATATATGCCGAATGTCCTTTATCACTATCATCACCAATCTTGACTCTTCCATGCAGCGGCACCCGGTGGCCCGAAATACCATAGTCCATTTGCAGGTCAACTATTAGCATTAGGGTGAAGAGTATCAGGAATGCGCTAAGAGCCAGCGCAAGGCGTTCCTTCAGCTTCATGTTGAGCATTGTGCGCGCGTTCGAACCGCGCGGCGTGATGGCACTGCGGGCCTGCGCATCCTCCGGCGGCGGCGATCGCTTGCAGTCGCGCGCGCACCTCACCCGCCAGCGATGCCAACGCGCGCGCGCCCACCCGCTGACGCTGCAACATTATCACTAATTACTAAACGGACTACTATAAGCAAATCTGATAGTGGAAGTTTTATGCATGCTGGTCGCGTACGGGCTCACACTTGTGATATGAAAGTGGAGAGCGCGTAAGGACTAGATGCGTGAATAATTAAATATTCTACAACTACACTTTTATGCTAAAGCTTTGAGGTTTTGATGATGCCTTTTAACCCAAAATAAGTAATCGAATCGACGCTAGCACTTAGGTTAGTTTTTACCAAATCAAGTGGTTTCAACATACATTAATACCATATTTTTAATCCTTTTCAATAGATTTAATTTGAATAGAGCATTTTGTTAACTTTAATTAACATTTCATTCTAAATAGCCAGTCGAAAATCACTAAGTAACGATATGTAAAGCCATGAATGTCAATATGCTTTATTAATGATATATTAAAAAGTATTTAATTAACGCGTGTGTGCGTCCATATACGAGTACAACCACGCTAATAGCCGCGTACTGACTGAGCGAGCAGCCTCGCGAGGCTGCCTCGCGAGGCAAATCCTCGGTCGGTCAAGACGTGCCTCGCCCGAGGCAAACGCACGCGCTGCCTCGCCCGAGCGTGCCGCGGCCCGAGCCGAACGTTGTCGGTTTTTGTCGATGTTCAAAGGCGCCTCAGTACGTTTGCCGCGCTCACTCAAGACGGTAGTGTTTTTGCCTCGCTTATTCGTTGCGTGTTAGTTGTGCGTCATGGATAAAGAACAGTGTCTTAAATTAATACGACTATATGGTGAATATAGACGACTTTGGGATGCGCAATGTCCTGATTACACAAATAGAGGACTAAGGGAAGATGCATGGAGAAAAATAAGCCAGGAAATGAACCTTCCAATAGCTGAATTAAAGAAAAAGATGGACTCTTTACTAGGGTCTTACAGGAGGGAAAAGTCGAGAGAAAAAAAAAGCCGAATCACAGGATCAGGTATTTATTATTTAATGTTTATGATTAGGGTTAACAACATTCATTTTATTATATTCAAAGTTACATCGGTTTTTATATTATTTCTAATATTATTTTTTTTTATTTTATACTGCAGGTCGTGGTGAAATATATGTTTCGAATTGGTATGCCTATGAAGCCTTCAGTTTTCTAGGAGATAGAAATCACCCAGGAAATACACAAGATACTTTAGGTGAAGAAGTGAGTACCTATTATTTACTGATAATTATTCTGCCAAGAAATTGCTCCGTTTGTTATGAAATGTCTCCCTAAATGTGAACGTATTTCTTTTATATTTGTTGATCCTCGCCGTGGTATGGCTTGAATAGATAGCATTGATGACATTTCTGTATCCTGTCGCCATCGGCCGGGTATTACTGTCCCTTCAACTTCGGCATCGAATGATCCTGGGGAGTGAACCTTTGTGAGGAAGCTAAATCTCTACGCAAGTAGTTATATAAGCATATGGTAGTCAATACGACTTTCGTAGCTTTTTCTGGTTCTAATAGTAGCGGCTTCCTCAGTACTCTAAAAACGGAGCTTAAAATGCCAAAGGCATTCTCCACAACTCTTCTTGCTCTGGACAGCCTGTAATTGAAAATCCTTTCCATTGAACCTCTTTCTGGAGTACCTTCATAAGGTTTCAATGTGTAATCATTGAGAGCAAAAGCTTTATCGCCTAGAATAAAATAGGGCACTGCAATTTTATACGGTATTTGTAATATTTCTGGTGAAGGAATGTTCAATTCCTTCTTTTCGACCTTTTTATATAAATTGGTATTTTTAAACACACCGCCATCTGATATACGTCCTTTGCTGCCAACGTCTACGTACAGAAATTTATAGTTAGCGTCAACTAAAGCAAACAGCACTATACTTGGAAACATTTTGTAACAGTCATAATCATTGCCACTATTTATCGGCGACTGTAATATAACATGCTTCCCATCCATTGCTCCTATGACATGTGGGAAATTCCATTTGCTCTCAAACTCTTTCGCTATGGTAAGCCACTCTTCTTCGGATGATGGTATCTGTAAATAAAATTAAGTAATAATTTCTATCTTTACAGAATGCAAGTCTGGATAATACTCGAAATGATGACGGTTATAACGAAGAAAAAAATGAAACTTCAAACTCGACGACAACGGAAGGACCTAAACAAAAGTCAACTAGACCTAAAAAGAGATCCAAAATGAACGAAAGTGATGATCTTACTGATAACGCCATATCTGAAGCATTAACACTCTTACAACAGTGTGCAAGCGATAATATATCAGAAAAAAATGATCCCTATAATGTGTATGGCCAATATATAGGAAATGAGTTGAGAAAGTATGATAAAATTACATTAGCATACGTAAAAAATGCAATAAATAAAATTATCTTTGATGCAGACATGGGAGCATACAGTGGTTATAGTTATTATACTCAATCATATGGTGAACACGATAATTTAAGATATATGTCTCATCCCTCTTCCTCATCGACGCCATCTACATATTCGATGCCTGCTGCCTCACCAATGCCTTCTACCTCACCGATGCCTCCTACTTCACCGATGCCTCCTACTTCACCGATGCCTCCTGCCTCATCGATGCCTTCTACTTCACCGATGCCTGCTGCCTCACCAATGCCTCCTATCTCACCAATTTCGATGCCTCCCCCTCCTCCTTCTCCAGCTCCTCATCATTAAATATTTGTTTGTTTAATTTTCTTATATTATTTGTCCAATTTTCTAATCAGATTAATAAAAAAATAATAAAAATATGTAATTTTATTTTACCTTAACATAATCCTTTAACACCTCAATTATAGCATCACAGACTTCAGGAACTATAACCGATATCCTTTGTTTTGATATACGAAATAGATACTGTAGACTGGTATAAGAATCTCCTGTGGCCAAAAATCTCAACGTCACTAATAATCTTTCCCTAGCGGATATTGCTTCTCGAAAATTTGTGTCCTTCTTGCTTATTTTGGCGTTTATGAGAGAATACACATTGTCAAATTCGATTTTACTCATTCGAGTGAAATTTTTTTCTTCGTCATCGAAGCACAACTCTTCAAATAATCTGTTCCCAGCCTGTAATCTATTTTTGTATAAGAGTTTAATCCAAAAACGTTTAGTTTTCTGTTTTCTTTTTTTGCAAGCCTTAGAATTATTAAAAAGGCAGTGGTAGCGACAGCTTTCCGAATGTGCGGCCTCATGGTGGTCTCGGGCAAACTATACGGGCACGCGCGGTCTCTATTCGACTTCAAGTTAAACTGAGCGTCGATGCTCACGATGGCTCGGACTTGCCGCGCGAGGCAGCCTCGGATTAGAAAACTTACAGACCGAGGCTGCCTCGCGCGGCAAACGTTGCGAAGCAAACGTCCGAGGCTGCTTCGCGAGGCTGCTCGCTCAGTCAGTACGCGGCTAATGATGAACGACGTTGAACGTATAACGGTATAATACATCATTTTAATATCTAGCAATAGCTATTTTTTTCACTTTTTTTTCACAAGGTTCAAGGTTCACTTTTAAAATTGGAATAAAATTTTGTTACTACTCCAAAGTGTTTTTCTTCTTGCGATATACAATTATTGATTAATAATAAATTTTATCTATTATGGATTGACTCAAATACATATATGGGACTATCTGATATCTCGTATTTAGTGCTATGATTTAAGCCGGAAAACCAAAACTATAAATTGTCATAATCATAATTATTCTGTATAATCCTATTCGTAAAAAAATATTAAAATTCGTCTAATAATTTTTCTAAAGAATAACGAACATCAATCTATCCTTCCTACATAACAGTACTTTTGTGTAACAAGTTATATATGTTAAGGTCATAATGGAAAAAAATTGACATGAAGAAGAATGTACCATTGTTTAATTCCCACCAAATGTCAGAAATCTGACATTTAAAAAGCAAAATACCAAGAAAACGTGTACAACGCTCTATAAACGTTTTACTTAGCAGTTATTCCCATTCTTTTCATAAGTTCATTCGTTTTTAATGAAACTTTGTGTTTGATAGAAGTATTTGTTGTATGAAGCCTTTGTTCGCATAACCACCCTGTATAAATCCGTAGCTATTTACTTCCTTTAAGAATACAGACTGCATTCTGATTTGAACAAATTGAGTTAATTTTTGAATAACGCGCTAGTAATTAGGAATGACATGCACTAGCTTCGACTAAAGGTATCTCACGTACCCAACAACATAAAGCGGATGCATTCCTATACCTTTGAATTTTACACCTAAGACATTTTGAATAGAAATATATAGAAAGAGCATGTAATTAGTGTAGAGTCGAATTTTCGCAGCATTCAAATCATAACAAATCATATCAAATCAAAATCACTTTTTCCTATAGGTAACACAATGTACACCTATGAACGTCAAAAAAGAAATACATATTAAATGCTTCTAATTTTACATCCAGTTCTCAATTGAAGGGCCGTTCAGCGCCCGAAGAGAAGAACTGGCAATAAATTCTCCGCCACTCTTTTTAATGGCCAAGTTTCTGTTTTACAAAATGTTTGTAGAGTTCAATTAATAATAATAAAATAAATTAAAAACTAAGATTTGTCCTCTATCAGCAGGAGGCATGGTGAAATAGGAGCACGCACATACATTCTCGTGGGAACAACACGCAAATACATAGTCGAAATAACTATCACCGCATACATGAATTCAAGTCCGACCAGTCACACAGCACCCGTTCACGAGTATGTCGTATATCGTTCGGGAAATTGTAGATAATTTAATAAATTTTGAGGTCTTGCCTATGTGAGTAATTGAGGCTACAGGTAAATATATACATTAATATTTATAATACATTGTATAAAATTTAAGAAATAGGTTGACCGCGCATGCGCCGAAGCTAAAGGTCTCTAATGTTTTTAATCTGTGTAATTTGAATTTTAATGACTTTTTCTGCCTAAATATTTAACTCTTTTCGTAGCTATTAATAATACGCAATACTTAAATGAAAATCCCGCTCAGAAAATGGTACTCCGTGTTTATTATAAGAAAGGTCACGCATTGCGCGTGTAAAGATAGATAATCATAATCGTGATTCATGACAATGTTGTAAAATTTTCCATTAAATAAAACTTTATGAAAATACTTCGAATTTTACTAGAACAAGTTTTATCATCAGCAAATATAATCCAAATTTTGTTCCTCTGTTTTGCATATCGCTCCGATAAGATAGAGAAGTACACATATTTTATCTTAAATTATGTTTTCGTTACTTTTATGAATACACAAGTTTAGTTGCCGAGGTTTATATTGGCTCTTGATAGAACTAAAGACAAATAGAGTAATTTGATCCAATTAAGACACCATTATGAAGTGGATGTACCTAAAAAATTTAAAAGAAAAAGTTAAACTTCTTTTGGTATTTAACGGTCTAAAATATCAATATTTAAAGTCCTACAGAAAAGTATGAATAAAGTTACAAATAACTTAATATTTTACAAGTTCAAAGGGATAAACGTTAACAACTCCGACAATTAATACCACAAAATTACAGTAATTAAAATTAAGTCAATACATATGGCGAGTTTTCTCATGATTTACTTAAAGCCATCAGTATTCAGGAACAATTATTTTAATAATGCATACGAATGGGGTTGTCATTAATCGCACTGTTTACTGGTCAATCGGATACTGAAACTTGAATTAAATATAATAGGAGACAGCGGTCTCACATAGGATTATGACACATCATTTTCCAGTAGATCTCAGCCAGTAGTATATTATGTATATATACTACATATATACATAATATATTATATATATAATATCTTTTTTGTCCATGCCTATTTAGCAATTATTAGAGTAACGAAAAGTGTTGGCCTAGTAGAGCGACTTCAGTGTGCAACTCTCATCCCTGAGGTTGTAGGTTCGATCCCCGGCTGTCTACCAAAATACCTTTCTTTCTATGTGAGGATTTAACAGGCTGATCACTTACTTACCTATTAGATGAACAAATGTTCAAGAAACAGATATAGAAATCTGAGGCCCAGACCTAAAAATGTTGTAGCGCTATTGTTTTATTTTATTTAGCAATTGTGTGATGATGTTAGGTTAGGAAAGATATTGATGGGTAAACTATAACATTTGTATATCCTATACACTTTCCACCCATTTTAATTAACCGTAGAAGGATTGTTTTAGGCTAATAAAGTTTTGAGTTGCGAATGTTTTCATCTTTCGGTGTTATTTATAGGGCGACGTAAGCTTTCAAATAAGAATTTTTTATGTGAAAAAGCAATTTTTTGATAAAAGGTATTTTCATGAACGGAACAAAACTTGTTTTTGTCTAAGGCGGTGACTTGCGGGATCCACATCCTTTTCATTAATTAAGCTTTCACTAGTTTCAAGGTATGATTTCGTTTAGGTAGGGTCTAATATACTGACATCATTTATCATGCCCAGACTAGCCTATATAATTATGCAATTGCATATATCCTCTCACCTTGTGGTTTGATATGATAATTGATTCATCTTCTTGTTTTCAATTTGAAATAAATTAAAGCACTTGCGAAATAATTACAATTATTGCCTCTGAATATTTTAATTGTATTATTATTTTTTCGTATATGTTTCTAGACAAGGCAACTCTTTTACCAACGAGGTTATTAAGTGAGTCATTCATAAACATACATAATATGTCTTTGTGTACAAATATAATATAGGCAAATTTATACGGTTTTTCAAAAAGTGCTACTAAGTAACGTAAGACAGAGATTACTTAACATATTCTTCTTTTTTTATCTTTGGACTCCTGAAATATGTCTAACTTGAAATCTGCTGAAGTCAACGATCATCAACGGGTCAACATCGTTCCGGGTAAACGTTTTAATTGTATTGATGACACTAATTAAGGACGGCGTTGGAAACTTATATAAATTAACGAAAGCTTCATTTCGTGCTACAAATTGGATAATTGGAGTCTTTTTGTTTCTCTTGTATCGTTTGCATGCGAGCCTGAAGTACGTCGAGTATGTTCCACAAATTCAGCAAACATTTTGACGTTTCAGTTTTATATTGTGCTCGATATTGGGCGAAATTTTATTTCATTTTGCCAAATGTGACGATTAAAACGAAATAATGACTGTACCTGTAGTTGGCATCGTCAACAGGTTAAAATATATTCGTTGGAACACAAAAAACAAGTCCATAGTTAATCGTTATAACTATGCCTCATTGCTGTCGTGGTAAGCATTTTGCATTGACTCCATGAAGTCGATAAACGTGATGAGATGACAAAAAATATACCATTGACCTTTATTGAATTAATCTACGAGAATAAAAGTAATAACCAAGTTCAACATCGCAACAATTTCAACATCGGAATTATAAACAATGCTTATACTCGTTTGTATTTTTATATTATTTTATAAGACATAACATTGTTGCTTATTTGAACATAGTCGCGATCCCGAATATAAATGTTGTAGCATCCGCCAATTTAGTCCCACTAGCTACTAGTAGACCGACCGCCATCGTAGTTAACGCATTTAATATCATTCCTACGATTGATAACTAACATTCACGTTCAATAGCTAATTAAAATTGAATTCAGCAACCATCAAGTAAACTCAAACTCAAAATATCTTTATTCATGTAGGTAAACAAATACACTTATGAACGTCAAAAAAGAAGTTAAATTAATTGTAAATTTACGTATACTACCAGTTCGCAAGTCAAGGGCGTAGAGAGGGCATGAAACTTTCAGCCACTCTTTTTAATCGCTAAGTTTTGAGTCATACAAATTGTTTGAACTGGAGCAAATCAATCCCAAGGATCATTTAAGTATTCGTCAAGTTTATAATTACCAGATTCCCGGGGGAACTATAGTTTAGTACTGATTACATACTTGGCAATATAAAATGTATGAAAAAGCAATGTGTTTCACACCCTACACAACGAGACTTTTAAGTATGTAAGAGTACGTTAGTAAAAAAAACTTAATATTTTTTATGAATTGATAGTGATTTATATGCGTCTGAAAAGAACTTTCACGCTAGACTCTAATGGAGTGGCAATAAACAAAACCACATTTGAATATCGGGCTTCACTAGAATTGTACATAAAAACCGATGTATGTATTTTCCAACGCCTTCATAACAATAGTGTCATTACAGTTACATAAGGCTTTGTATTAGTGTGTATTTTTTAATGTGCATGTGACATAATTTCATGGTATTTGCGTATTGTCCTATCATTATTCGCCTGTATGCATCTCCAGCCATGCGTAATGTTTGAATGGATTCGCTTTCCTCACGACCTGTAAAAATAAGATATGCTATTGTGCAATCTTTTTTTACTGAATTTTATGTGCACATCACGTAATTGAGATCATTAAAATCATAGGTTTATTTAATTCATTTATAATTAAAAAGTCTTATTCGATCATTGCTTCATATCCAAAGACAATAATAATATAATATAATATAATATAATATAATATAATATAATATAATATAATATAATATAATATAATATAATATAATATAATATAATATAATATAATATAATATAATATAATATAATATAATATAATATAATATAATATAATATAATATAATATAATATAATATAATATAATTTGTCTTTATTATCCTTAAGTTATTAAAAAATTATGTCTACACATTTTCACCTATTTTTTATATAAGTAATAAATGTTGCTATTGTTGTTGTTGAGAGGCATAACGCACCAAAACTATGTAGTGGCTCTTTAGCTAAAGCCTGTTGTATATACATATATATAAAACAGGCTCAATTTGCAATTAATAATAAATTATTTAATAAAAAAAACCTTACAATGGTTAATCTTTCTGGTTATTTATTCTATTAAATAACTCTGAATAAATATAATATTAACAAAACGTGAGTACTAGGGTAACATAAGCGTTAGAAGCACGCAATGATCTACTCATTCAGTGGAGATAAACAATGGAACAACAGGCACAGATAAGATCTTGATCACAGCCTCCATTAGCTTGTGCTTTCTGTTGTATATCATATAAAATACGCTAAACTCAAAGTAATCACCCAGCGTGGTTCCGTCATGTTATTTGGACAATGTGCCATTATCCATTATTTTGTTACCAAGGTTTAACGAGTGTTAAAATAATTTTGATCGAGATAATTTTACCATTACCCAATGTCAAATACATTAAAATAGTATAACCAATATTGTTTTACTTAATACTTAATAA